CATCCCTTCTTCATATACTTATCCATCACTAATTATATATATTTATATAAACACAAATAAATGTGTATATATATATATATATATACACATATATATATATACATATATATATATATACATATATATGTTTAGTGTGCTCTATCATATGGGCACATTAAACATAACAAACTACAAAACAGAAAGGACTATTTTTGATTATGTTTGCTCTGATCATTGACTACGGTATCCTTAATCACCTAAAATACCTGACACATAGGAAACACTAGTAAAAACTGTGTTGAATATGAATATATTAACCTATTTTTAAAGGTACGACTATAAAACCTGCCAAACCATATCTTCTATAATTTGAGAATTTGTCATTTTTAAAAGGAAATTTAAACTAGTCCTATCTACTATTTTATATAATATACTGCTTTATTTTTTATCGTGTCTCAGGCTATATTCATCTGATATAGAATGTTCAAATTCATCTTCAGTAAAGAATCCTGCTCTTGAACATTCTCTCACTTAATTGTATGTTTATTCAATATTATAACAATCAGAGACTAATATGGTTGTACCTTGTAATATTTTCCATTTATTTTGTACTTCTTTTTATTAAAAAACAATGGAGACATATAAAAGAATAATACATGTTCCTTTGAACATTTGTGTCCTATATCTTTCAGCCTGAGGTTAACTCAAGTCAAGGTTATTTGCTCTGAGTTTTAATTTCTACATGAGAATGTTTCTTTTGAGATTCTGTCTTTTAATGCAGACACTCCATGTTTTCATGCATTTCTCCATTAGAGCCCTGGCTCAAATGAAAGCATTGTTTAAATTTGCTTTAGAAGGCTTTTTTAAATTTAAACCCTTATTTGGGGGTATTTCTCCCATAAAATATTAGAAGGTTCTCTATATTCTGTAAGAAATGTAGCCTTCAAAGTAAAGATCCATATGTTGCATTAACCACATTGTAATTTTGTATATTCATTTATCATAGTCATTCAATAATTTCATTAGACAGTTTAGGGACTATAATCAGATGGTGAAATGTGCTCATCATTTGGAGTTTTGGAAGTTGTAATATCAGGTCTACTTTTCCTTCTTACAATTCTCATTTATGTTCTTTTTTTAGTTGAAATATACATACAGAAAACTGCATTTAATTGTACAGTTTGGTTGTACAATTAAATGTAGCTGTATAACAATCAACATGTTAAAACATAGTACATTTTAAGAAAATTTCCTTATGTATTTTACTGCTTGATTCTTTCCAAAAATCTAACCACTCTCCTAAATTTTATACCCTTGGAAGTATTTTGCTTGTTTTTGAAACTTGGTTAAAAGGAATAATAGTAGGCATACCTAGTAGACATACCTAGTGTCTTACCTCTTTTGCTCAAATTTATTTCAGGATACTCACAATCTGTGTATTATATATAGATATCATTACCTCATTTTCATTGATTTATAATATATCATCAGGGGAACATACCATAGTCATTTTCAGTTTGGGGTTTTATGAATAAAACTACCTTAAACATTCTCATGTATATATTTTTTTGGTAAACATAGAAATGTATTTATGTTGGCTGGATACCTAGAAATAAAACTTCTAGGTCATAAGAAATGTCAATTTTGACATTATAGATAATGTCTGATTTTATTTAATGTTCATCTGAATTATTATATTAATTATGAGAGTTCCAGTTCCATGTCTTTATCAACACTTGTCATTATTTTTCTTCCTAATTTTAGTCATATTGGTGAGTTTATATCGATATCATGTTGGAGTTATAATTTAAATTTTTCCTGATTACTGCCAAGAATTAATATTTTTATATTACTTTTGAACTTTTCAACACCTCCTTTTTTTTTTAAAGAGAGAGTGAGAGGAGAGAGAGAGAGAGGGAGAGAGAGAGAGAGAGAGAATTTTTAATATTTATTTTTTATTTCGGCGGACACAACATCTTTGTATGTGGTGCTGAGGATGGAACCCAGGCCGCACGCATGCCAGGCGAGCGCGCTACCACTTGAGCCACATACCCAGCCCTCAACACCTCCTTTTGAGTAGTTTTTGTCTAAGTACATGGGCCATTTTTTTCATTGGATTTTTTTTCTCATTTTTTAAAGTATAAATTTTTTAAAATATAGAAGAAAATCAAAGGAGAAAATTGGAATATTCAATATGATAAATGCATTCATTATCTCCAAACTGATCTCTAGATTTAACCCAATATTGATCATTTTTCAAATGGATTTATGGTAGAAAAAGAAATATAATTATAAAACGAATATAGAACACAAAGGACCAAAAAGCCCAGAAAATCTAGCAGAACAACAATGGGAAATGTCTTAGTCACTTTTTTGCTGCTATAACAGAATATCAGATTGGGTGACTTGTAAGCAACAGAATATTATAAAGTTAATCAATGTAGAAACTGGGATGTTCAAGAGTGTGACATCTGTATTGTTTAGGACTTTCTTTTTGTGTATAACTGCAGAAGGGCAGGCACCAAATCAGATAGGTATAAAGGGAGCTGAACTTATCCTTTTATCAGAAGTCTACTGCAAGGGTAACAATGTCAATTAATTCAAGAGGATGAAGCCTTTACAACCCAATCACCTCTTAAAAGCCACTTCTCTTCATATTGTTACAATGGCAATTCAACTTTAATGTAAGTTTTGGAGGAGCTATTCTATTCATAGTGTAGGAGAAGCTAGTCTGCCAGATACCAAACCTTATCATAAACCAAAGTTATATCCATGACATGATATCTGTGCTTATATAGAAAAATAGAACAATGGAAGCAAATTGAAGTCTAGGAGCAAGCACACCTATGTATTAACAAAGTTTTATGTCATATCTGGTAATGAAAGAGCAACAGGGAAGCAATATTCATTTCAATAACGCTGTTGGGTTGGCCGAATGAAAAACAACCAAAACTTAACCCATTCCTCATACCATATACAATAATCAATTTCAGATGAAATATAGATGCAAATTCAAATGCAAAATAATAAAGCTTATATAGATAATGTCATACTATCAGAAAAGCTTGACTAGACCAATAATTCTTAATCAGGACAAAAATAAAAGTTAACATTTTAAAAATAAACTATATCAAAATGAAGAAATTCTGTTTACCAAAATTCATCACTAATTAATTAAAAATATAACCCACAAAGAAGGAAAATATATTTGCAACTTTTAAAACAGAGCTCATATCCAGAATATAGGGACAACTTATAGTATTGATGAAGTTCAGGTTATTTTTTCTCTTTTCAAATCATGCCTTTGGTTTTGTACATAATAAATACTTGGCACAAAGTCACATAGAATTCTTAAGTGGTTTGTCTGCTTTATTGCCAAGATTTTTCTGATCCTATATTGAAAACTGTGAATTTGGTAATCATAATATGTATAGGAAATCCACATATTCATAATGTGTAAAAGTTTGGCAAAAACAAAACACCTAAAATTCTTACCAAAGAAAACATATAGCTACAGTAATTGATCATTTGATAGGAGATTCAAAAGCTTATTTTGTAATCTTACATTATCTTGGTAGGGGAAATCCAACTATATTTAATTAATTAAATCCAATAATTCTATGTATTTTTGCTGTTTGCCTTGCTCGTACAGTTTCAAATAGAATATGGGGTTTTGATATTTTAAAGGATATTTTCTTTGTGTAAGTTATAAACACCTTATTTTTTTATAATTTACATGATTCTTATCTTTCAAAAGGGTAAGTATATCAGACTAACAATGAGAAAATCAGTCCAACAACTTTCTTCTGGCTGCAGAAAAATTGAAAATCTAATCTCTTTAGAAAATAACAAAATAATATTTCTATAAAGTAACTTTCAGCTGCTCAACGTAACAGTGATCCTAAATTCATAAAATCAACCAATTGCTATGTACTTTCCACTTATATATCCTGTGTAATGCCCTCTCTCTGCCAGGTGAGCTAAGTAACATTGGGGGGCGGCAAGTATGTTATTACTAATCTATCACAGCTTATGGTTATTTTAAGAGTGTGTGATCAATGTATTTGAATTTATCCTTGAAAAAGAGGTATAATGTAATTAGGAAGCTACTAAAAGTGCCTGATAAATGTATTGGTCGATTAGAGAGGTTGTAGAAGTTAATCATAAAGGAGGACCATTTGCCTTTAAGGCCATGATAGAAGGAGGAATGAACATCAAAGTCACTCAGAGGTGATTAGAACTCCTCTAATCTGCCAACTCATTGAGCTATGTATTTTTTTTTTACTTTTTTAAAATACAAAACATATGTTTCCATTCAGTTAAACTGAACCAAACATAAGGATAAAAACATATCTGAGCCAGGCATGGTGGCACACACTTATAATCCTAGTGATTTGGGAGGCTGAGGCAAGAGGATCTTGAATTCAAAGCCAGCCTCCATAGCTTATTGAAGTCCTAAGCAACTCAGCAAGGCCCTGTCTCTAGATAAAATATTTAAAAAGGGCTGTAGATGTGTCTCAATGAATAAGCCTCCCTATGTTCAATACCTAGTACAAAAAAATCTGTAGTTCTTACCCTGAGATTAAAAAGTTATTTTTCTGTATAATTTATATTTTTGATATGATGCTTACTAATTTTTTAGCTTAATTCAAACTTCATTACCATGAGGTTTGAACATACTGAGTACATAAAATTACATACAGCCAAAATCTATTTGTTGTTTTGAACACAGCTTTATAAAGAAATCAGTTTGTCCACTAAATAGAGTTGCACTGAGTAAAGTCCTAAAACAACATGGAGATCTATGTCATGTATTTCCCTGTCCTCTGTAAATGCATGCATTTGCTTTCTGGACTACATTAGCCACAAGCACACATGAAAGAACCAGAATTTCTGCTGTTCATAAAAACTAGTTTGGTTTACAAGAGAATTTGGGATGCTTTCTCTGCACTGGGGGGCTGAAGCCTTCATTCAAACATTAACCACAGTGCCTTATGGCATCCAAAGCCTTAGTCACTTACATTATTTTTCTGCAAGACCCTCAGTGCCTTGTTGACATTGTTCAGGGCATGAACTCTTGTAGATCCTTTTTCCTTTGGCTGAAAAACAAAAAGAAACAGTGTTCACTGCCCAGCACACAGACCAAAAATCCACCAGAAATAAAACAATTTATAATTTGAACTTTTATGTTTCAATGTTTTACATTTAAATAAACATAGATCATGAGGCATTTATATAATGTACTTAAGGTTTTGGACTAATTGTCCCTGGCATAGTCTCTTTTTAGAATGAACCAACCACTCATTTGAGAAAGAAAGGCCCCCCCGTTTTGTTCACAAAGCCTATTTAAAGTGATACAGAAGGATATTTACCAATAGGACAGATAATCAACTAATTTCCACATTTTTTAGGAAAGTTTAAAAAAGATATGAGTCATGTAAAGAATATATTGGAAAATAGGGTTAAAGAAACCATTTCTTTGAATATTTTCTTAATTGTCTTAGTTACTGAAGCTCAAAAGCTAAACTACCTTTGGTTCCCTTACTTTCTTTTCAGTCCCAAAAGTTATGTCTCAATCTGTAAATTTTCAACTGACATCTATACAGTTTGCTGTATAGATGTTTATTTAGTTGTGGAGCTTTAGAACACCTAGTGCTATAATGCTTGTTGTATTTATTCCCTCCTTCTATTTTCCATTTCTTTTATTTTAACAAGCCCTCATTAACTATTGCTCAGAGCACATCATAACCTCCTTTTCTCACTCACTGTTCCTCCTTCCATTCATATTTACATCTTCAACAATGACATTGTTAAACTAAGTCCACTACAAGTGCAAATTATTTGCATAGCTCTCATCTCAATCTTTTTTTTTTTTTTGGCTATGCTGGGATTGAACCCAGGTGTGCTCTACTATTGACTTACTTCTCCAGCCCTCTTTATTTCTTTATTTTTATTTTCATTTCGAGACAGGATCTTAGTTGTGGAGGCTATTCTTGAACTTGCCATCCTCCTGACTCAAGCTGCAAAGTAGCTGGGATTATAGGAATGTGCCACCATGCCTAGCTCATCTCAATGTTTAGTTAAACATAAGAGCATGAACTATAAAGCAGACCCTCCTGGATTCAGTGTTCAACTGTCACTTTTGCACTAGGTGACCTTGGGCAAATTTCTCAGTATCCATGTAGACCACTTTCCTCATCTGTTGAAATGGCTAATAAAAGCAATGGATCCATATTGATTCCTGAGAGAATTCAATGTGTTAACATGTATAAAGCACTTAGATTGGTATTTCTCACACAATAGATAAAATAAAATGTTTACTGTTATTATTATTGAGTTTGTAATTTGTGCTAGGTACTTGTATTCACTATCAATAAAACCTGTTGTTGGGCTGGGGATGTGGCTCAAGCAGTAGCGCACTCGCCTGGCATGAGTGAGGCACTGGGTTCGATCCTCAGCACCACATAAAAATAAAAAAAAATAAAGATGTTGTATCCTCTGAAAAACTAATAATAATAATAATAATAATAATAATAATAATATTAAAAATTCTCTCTCAAAAAAAAAAGAAAAAGAAAATTTGTTGTTATGTCCCTTATACATATAGGGAACCTTAAGTCAAGAGTTAATACATAGCCATACAACTAACAATCTGTGGAACTAGAATGAAAACTTTGGTCTGTGCCTATTGAATCAAAGTTTCCACATTCATTTACTTTTCTTCCTTTAACTTCCTTGTGCATGCAGCATCCAAATAGACTGTTTTCTACTTCTTAAGTTTTTCCCCATGCATTCCAGGAATACTCATATTCTTCCTGAGCAGTTCCCTAGCCTAGAGCATCATGCCCTTTGAATTACCTGCTGAACTTCTCAAATTAAATAAAATATTCTACTGTTCAAAAAAAACTTGCTTCATACCATTTTTCTAAAAAACAAATTTTTTAGATGTTGATGGACCTTTGTTTTATTCATTTATTTATATGTGGTGTTGAGAATTGAATTCAGTGCCTTACAAGTGCTAGGCAAGCACTCTACCAGTGAGCCACAACCCCAGCCCTTCCTTCATACCCTTTATCAAACAGTAGTAATACTCATTTCTTTTCAATTCTCACAATATTAACTAGCCTCATGAACAGGGATCTCCATAGTTTTTTTTATGTCCTACAAAATTTTCCTCTAATAATGTCAAAGTGATAAAGGCTTACATTTGGTATGTTCCTACTTCCCACCATAAAGAGGAAGCCAATAAGTCCATAGGAAGACCAAACTTGACTTCAGATTAAAATCAAAGCAGCAAAATAAAATTTTAGGAATTTAAGGCTCTGAAAATAATTCAGTAATTTTAGGAATTTAAAGTTTTGAAAATAAATCAATCCTCTGCCTAATATTTAAGCAAAAGACACAGACTGTCTTATAAGCTACTGTATAAAAATTATAAGAATTAAGTAACATTTTCCTTTGCTTCAAACTCAGACATTTACATGTACACATTTACATACTTATGTGCATATTTTTCAGGGCCCAAAAATGCTACTTGTAAAAAAGCTGCAGTTTCTGATGCTGATGTGGAAGCTGAAATCTGTCCCCTTTTATGACTTGTTGGGGAGTAATTTTAATTTTATAGTTGTAAAGCAAATACCTTCATTTTAACCATGGAGATGGCCTGAGACAATAATCTACATGCAGATGCTTCAAAATAGAATACTAAGATTTCTCATCAATAATATACACTACTGCCATTAGGACTGTAGGACATATCTCTACAGAAACTATTAGGATTCAAGACCAGGAGTTGGAGTCTTGAAATCAGACACATTCATGAGACAGGTGATGCTGCTTTCTGGGAAAAGTAAAATCCCCAGATCAGAGCTGCCAAATCTGTGTCAAGGATGAAGGATTGATTACAGATTCTGTTAGTAGCAATAACTGAAATTATATGGTTTATATTGCCTTGTGTGGGTGTTTGGTGATTTTTTTCCCTCACCAACTATTTATTCCACAATGACCAATATCATGGATATTTTGGTTGCCTGTTTTCTTCAGTGCCTGCAACTCATTGGGTTCATTTTATCTCAGCATCTCTTTGTATGTATGGTTATCTTTCTGTCCCAATGAATATGCAAATCACTTTTATTATTTCTGTGTTTTGTGGAAATCCATTACTTTAAACACTGTGCCTATATGGAATTTGTTAACCCTGACAAAATTGCTTTGGATGATGAAAGTGTCACCTCTATTCAGGAAGTTATTCAGGAGAGTTGCAATACCACAGAGAAGTGGTCATGCACACATCCAGAGGTGAAAAAAAATAAGTCATGTGCACATGGTCAGGACAGGTTGAAAAGCACAATCTTTTTTTTTAATTTAATTTATTTTATTTTTTTAAAGTTTTTTATTGACTGATTTATTTATATCTGTAATTGAAAGCAGGAATGGCTGCAGGATATAACAGAAACTAGGGACACACCAAGACACTTATTTCTATATCTATCTATCTATATCTATATCTAACTATCTATATATATACATACATATATGCCTATCATGAAGATGCATATATAATGCATAAATTAATGCATTATAATGCACAAATTATATGAATATATAAAAGTTCACAGTCACAGGATACAAATGATTATACAAAAATATAACTCTAACCAAGGAAATTGATAAAGTGTATACAGTGCCCTTGATTTGGCTATATAAGATAATAAATATGAACTTCTTTCAGTTGATTCAAATGATTATTTCTTTAAGTCATCATGTTATTCTTATATCAATTCAGATTCAGATTTCATAAAACATCAGTTTTAATTTAATTTAATATTTATCCCATACAGCAATGAAGAGGATTTAAAAATGAAAGCAAAGATATGTCCCTTCTCTATAGAACTTTGGCATTTAATTGAGGAGAGATGTCATAGTCATAAATACACTGAAAATAATAATGCAACAATTAAATAAAAAATAGGTGCTCTATGGGGTAACAAGAGCAAGAATTTATCAGAGAGATTGTGGGAAAGGCATCACTGGGAAAGAGAAACCAAAGCTTCTCAAGAACAGTTAGTACAGAAGTACAGAAAGCAACACAGATGAAAAATAAGTATATCTGAGAAAATGGAAAGAATTATAGGAGGCAAGTTGGAGAGCACGACTTTTGCCATTTTTGACTTTGAATGACAGCTTGAGTTTGTACAGTATCTACAAAGACTCTGCATAAATGTGTATGTGTGTGCATGCCTGTGCTGCAAAGTTGTAATGAAGGGCAAAAAAGAGATTAAGACAGTAATTTAGCAGGATTCATTTGATATGCAGAATGGCTAACTATAGACAGGGGTCTTAAACTCTACTTAAAAGAATAATAGCAATCTAAGAAGAAGATTATTTAAATCAGGAGATTTGGATTTAAGAGCCATTTTTCTCATTATGAGACCTTGATCAATTGAACCCAAACTCACACATGACTTTATTGACAATCTTATGTATCTCACAAGAATGCTCTGAAGTTAGACAAGATGAAAGTCCTTAAAGGGAAGTAACGTTCTCATTGCAGATGGTTTTGTGTATTAGACTAAAATGCCTATACATTTATATACTGTGCCAATTTTTTTCTTTATTTATAAGCTAATAAAGGTTCATTGTAAAAGAATTGCCAAATATACAAAAGCAGAAAGATAATTTTAAGTTATTATGCATGAAAGCCTTCATAAAGACATCAGATAAGAAGAATATCAAATAGGTAAAAGGAAGTAATGTCTATTAATTAACATAAGCTATATTACTGAAATTTTTACTTTATTGTTCTAAATATGATAGACAGTGACAAAAATAAAAGCTATAATGTTACTTAGTAAATTAGTGATTTACTAGTGCATAAATTATACTGTTTGATTCTGGTTTGAAATTCTATTAAGATTACTGCAAATTTTCTTTAAAACAAGTTTCCTACCAGTTTTTGCCCTGTGAGGCCTTCGAGAAGGTCTAGGAGGCGTCTTCCATCCTGCAGGTCACTGAAGAGGTTCTCTATGTGCTGCTTCCCAAACTGAAATAAAAATATATCCAGTTAAATCACACTTCCAATGAATCATTTCCATGATTATGCCTTTTGAAATTCAAAATTATATTTAAGGATATTTAATATTTCTAATTAATAAACTGCCCAGGGTGACGGATGAAGAGAGAAAACTGCAGGTAAAAATAAAACAAAAAAATAATATCATTAGGTCAAATCTACTTGAATTATTTCTGCCAGAATTAGAGATCTGTAGCCTAATTAATCTAATTAACACAATTTAATGAATGCTAATCCTATAAAAGACAAAAAAAATAAACAACTAAATTTTCATGCAGTTTGGGGTAGGATGACAAATAAACATATAAAGAAACAAAGATCATATATGATTAGCCCTGTGTACTTGGAAGTAGAGTGTTTTGACATCCTTGTCACATGGAATATGTTCTCCCTTCCTACACATTTTGCAACCTGCTTCAGAATGACCCATTCTCCTTATAGATAATTGAAATTAGAAATATCTGATTTAAATAGAGGAGAAATAATTCTGTGAAAGCTTTTCACATATTTTTCTCAGTTCTTTGCTTAGGTATTATACTAAGAAAAATAATAGTCACTAATAAATAATGTTTAACCTTTGTTGTAATAATTACTCAGGAGAGACACTACATAAAAGAGTAAATCCTATGACCTTTGCAACATTTCTGTAAGGTTAGCATCAATATACTCATCTCACAATGACATGTAAGGGCTCAATATGTGGCCCTGTGTCACAAAACTAAAAGGGGTAAAGCCAAGATTTGGGATCTGATCTGTCTAATTACTGGGGCTTTTGTTCTATCTTATCACACTGGTTCCTGGGCTTCTTTGTTCCTTCTATTTTATTATCTTTCAATAGCTTATTTCTTCTCACATATGCTTCACAAGCCTTTCTTTTTATGCTTGAAAGACTACAATCTCTTCCTATGAGATCACCCCTAGCTTTTTCAATGCGCCGGTTATCTATAAAGACCTAATTTATCAGTCACAGATGTATATTGAGCAGCAAGAAACCTGAGTTAGGTAATGGAGCATACAATGATAAATCAGACACATATTGCCCCTGCTCTTACAGTATTGCTTGTCCAGCATGGAAAACAATTATCTCTAAAATGTAAAACTACATAGAGTTAGTAAAAGGAACTAGGGAGCATATAATTGTGTGAATTTTGAGAGTTGGGGTATCAGGAGACATTTTCCCCAAAAGGTCAATTAGTAAAGCTAACATTAGTCTTTGGGTGACTAGACTCTTCTTCTCCTTGGATTACACACAAACTTTGAATCTCATACATGTCAGGGAAATCCTTGATTTCCAGGCAAAAGCCATCCCTGCTAGTTTGGAGACATGAATCAGACTCTCCCTACAGCCAGGTAGACATTGTTAATCACAAGTTTTCTTTAATTTATAGTGTAGATGCCTCCTATAAAGAAACGCTGGCCTCTTCAGTAAGTCCTCCAGCCCCTACACTAACTTTCAGAATACAGCTACACATATGCTATGAAAAGAATTAACTACAAGTTATCATTTTGAAATTCTATACAAATAATTCTTTTTAAAATTTCCAAGGCAAAATGAAAACAAACACAAAATGCTACCATTCAGGAATTTCTAAAAAGGAGTTTCACTACATATAACATCCAAATAAATCTTAAAAACAGTTGCACCATTTTTGTGAAACTTTAAGGAAACTTTTCTACTAATAAGCAAGGAAAATGAATGTACTGTTTCTAGTAATGCTGTAAGGAATTCCATATCTAACATTAAATACTTGATATTTTGATGGTAATATTAAGGTGTTATCTTCACATTCAATGAAGGGATCCAATGCCTTAAGGCATTTTTTAAAATGCTGAGGACTTTTTTGAGCAACGAAATTTTATAGAAGCAGTTGAGAAATGTATGGCTTCTAAATTTCTCTAGAAAAGATCTTTCACACTGCAATGTGTCAATCTTTGAAGAAAATATAGTTATTTGACAGAGATGTGTGTTCTTATGAGAAAATATATATCTACATTGACAGATAAAATTTATCAAACTGGGAAGATGTTGAATGGCAAAATTGTGTTCATTCAGAAAAGAAAAGCAGAGATGGGAAATGTGACCTTAAGTCTTGGGGTACTCACCATAAGGATCATACAGCATCAGAGACATAAGTGCGCTTGGGTTTTGGGGCAAGGGATCTAGACAAATGTCAAAAATTTATAGAGGATATTGCTTTTAGCCTCACAGTCTCTTTATTTTTTATTAGAATATTACAGTTATACAGAGTAGTTGGGTTTGAACCAGAATCTTTTAATAATTCTCCCTTTAAAACTGAAACCAACCAACCAGAGAAGGAGTAAAGTATGTGAGCCAGTCAGAGGCTTTCAGGCTGACCAAGTTGGGGTACATGGAATGAGGAAGCAATTACATAATAGAGAAAAAGACACACTTCATATCATATCTAATTTTCAAAAAGTCATATATGTTAAAATATCACAACTGAAATTCAGCTTCTATTGGTCACATCTACCCTATTCTTTAAAAGGGTGCTTCTCAGAATGTTTTCCAGTGGAACATGCTTTCAGCAATATGATTGAATGAATTTATCCTGGAGAATGGCAGTATCAATTTCACAGCATTTGAAAGTTCAAAATTTCTATGAAATCATATGTTTATTAGAATTCATGGAGTTTTGGCCATTCTTTCTTAATGTATAGTTAAAATAAAAATAACTTCAAGTGCTTTTGAATAAAATTTCCCTATTTTATGATCTAATAATTTTCAATAAAATGTTTAATATTTAGCTCATAACTTCATAGACTTTCAGATGTAGTCTTATTCCCCAATGTACAATGAATTCCCCAGGGAAAACGAAACATCTCATTACTTTTGGATGGTTCTCAGTTCAGGGTTTTAACTACTCACTACTCCTTGGAAGTAGAATGTGTGACATCCTTGTCACATGGAACATGTTCTCCCTTTTCACTAACTGTATTATCTGTAGCCAGTGACTAAGACTTTCTCAAGCACAATTTACTCATTTAAGGAAATGGCTGTTGAATTATCACTTTAGAACACTCCAATGAGGTTTAAATAAAATAATATTACAGGTATGTCCCATAGACGTGGCGTGTAATAGGCAGTTAATAAATATAGAACACTTTTAGTGTTTTATTCCTCTATTATTCCTAGTCTATATCTTGATCTTAGGCTGAATCCTAGATATAGATAAAATTATCATATGTTATTTAATCTACTAGAATGTGCAGAGCTCACCAATAATACACTGTTGTCCTGTAGTTTGGCATCCTGGTGAGGACAGAAGTAATTTTCCATACACAATTAACAAGACTTCTAAATGTGGATGGTGAAGGGAAAGCACTTACAGACTTCAAACTCTTTGTCTCCTTTCTTGTTCTTTTAGCTATTTTAAATTACACATTCTTTTGTTTTCCTCCCTTTTCATCTTTGACATCTACGATGACTTTTTGTTACAGGTGATATTTTGCATCACGAAAAAAATAATATGTTCTTAAAATTTCATTTTTAATGGCTTTATTTTCAAATGCATGAAAATGACTTTGTAAAACTTACAAAACATTAAATCCTCTTTGGGCCACATGACCCTATTATCTTCTGTCTTCAATACCCTTCACAACTCATATTTTCTTTATTAAGTGAACTAAGTGAACTTTTGATATTACTCAGCAGTTTCATGTAGTGACTTATATATTGTTCTTTCTTGCTAACCTAAAAAACAAGATGAAAGGACCATCAAATGAGACAATAATCCATCTGCAATATTGTCCACATGAAATTAAGAAATATGGGAGCCCAGAAAAAAAATTTCAAAAAAGATCAGTGGAATAAACAAAATGGAAAAAAAATCAAAGTGAAAAATTGAGAAAGGGGCAGAAATTCATTTGTGAAAAATGTTTAAATGGTTTCTGACTCCTCAGAGTTGCGTTGGTCTTTTAACCTGAAAATACAGAGGGATCAATACAATGTTCCGGCAGGAGGTAAAGAGCACAGAGATAATTTAACATGACCTTCTGGTTACAGAAAGGTCAAGCCATGGACATATCTGTTGCTCAGAAAGTCAAGTGACTTTTCAGTGATTACAAATCTCTAGATTATAGAAACACAAAAAGTGGAGTGCAGAACTAGGGATTCAAAACTTACTGGGGAGTGCTACTCAAGAGCTCACACAAAAAAATAATGCAACCCATTATAGCGTGAATAGGCAGCTTTCATAGAGGATTGTTTTCTTAAGTACAAGTTGTAAAAAGTATTTTATGTTGAAGCAAAAACATTTTATTGCGGTGTAATAAACATACAGGAAAGTATATACATCTTAAATATATAGCTCAATGAATCTTCATAAACTGAATACATTTATATTACCAGTAATCAGTTGGAGAAATAGGATATAATCATTTCCCTAGGAATTTCCTCACACCCCCTTCTATGTACAAACCACCTCAAGAATGACCACTATATGATTTTTTAGCACCATCATTAGTTTTGCTCTAAAAAGGGGTCTATTAAAAACAGAAAAAAATGTTCTGGTTCAGGATTTCATTTGGGGAATCTAATGATTGAAAGACATAAGGCTTATGCAGAGAGACTGTGCAAAAAAAAAAAAAAAGTCATGTGGATGAAATATATTTTAAAAGCACCAAGAAGTGAAACAATTTTATAAATGACAATATTTACACTATACCTAGAATGCCTTGGTTGAAATTCCAGCCCTATCATATCACATCCTAGCTGTGTGATCTTGGGCAAGTCACTTAAATTCTCCATGCCTTATCATTCCATTTTAATCTTTAAAAAGAGGATATGTTGTTGCCTGCATTATGGTAATGCTGTGAATATTTAAATAGAATAATGCTTTGTTTGTAAAATATGCTCTATTGGTGCTAGCTATCATATATTTATTACATTTTTAAAAACAAACAGCCCATATTTTTCACAATTCTGTAATTGAAGGAACTAACTTCAAAGT